TGGATCCCACAGTTTCTGCTGGCTGTGTGGACTTCACAGGAACAATTAAAAGCCTAGTGACAATAGGTTTATTTTTCCCAGCTTTTTACAGAGACTTCAAAAATATTTCCAGACTCTGACTACAAAAGGAAGGAAACCAAACCTGCTCTAGAGAGGCACGGGCCAGAACAGAGCCAAGATAAAGCACTGGTGTTCATCCTTCACCAGAATACTCAATACAATGATGGAGATCATYTTGTAACCCCAGGCAAAGGCCAGGTCTACCAGCATCTTTAAGAAGCCAGCCTTTCTTTCTTGCCTTTTCCAGAAAGGATAGTTTAAGAGTCCTGCACTCAAGCAAGAAGAACCAGGAGCTCCTCTGGAACCAGAATATCCAGAACTGCAGAAAGAATCTTAGCACCTAACTGTGCTTTTCAGAGGTTGCAACAGAAATGGAAGATCCATACATAAAAGATTATTTGCCAGCTGTAAAGAGTCATCATGGATGCTCACCAAAACATCTGCAGTTTCTGCAGGTTCCCTCATCTACAGTTTTTGAATTACGTAGGTACCCAGAGGAAAACCTTGGCATTCCCTGTTCTCCAGGCATTAACATCCTACATCCCAAAAGGAAACAAGCAGATGGTACATGGCTTATTAGCAGCCTAAACCTCCTGTGTTTTAAAACTGAATTTCCTTTATTTCTGGAAAAACTGCATGCTGTGACTGCAATAATCTCTGCAACAAATATCTGAACATTTGTTGYAGCTGCAACAAATCTCTGAAGGGAATAAAGCTTTTGCTGTTCCGTGCCTCTGMCTCAAGAATCCTGTGTGCAACACAGCACTGACAACCACTACTGTATTTCCTTTAAACATTATTGTCAAAAATACCCGGTCCCATGGTATGTCCTGCAAGTCTCTCCAYAGATACCTGGAATTTTTACAGCACAAACTGCTTATATGGATACAATTATTTTAGAAAATGCTCACCAGCATCATGCAACAACACACCTAGATAATCCTCTTCTGTGCCTCTTCAGCACAGTCCAGAGATTTCCTGTCACCACTTCATAGAGTAAAGCAATACACAATCTCCCAGGGCATTACACAATTCCTGAATCCTAAACAAACTAAACCAGATTGGTGAGGTCCCCTCAGGTGGTTATGTGAACCTTCCAAAGCTCCAGATGAGGAACAGGTCAATGGCCACCAGCTTGCCCTGAGGAACACTGCCTCCCTTTCCATGGTGGTACCTAAGCACAACATACCACAAAAGTCCATCAACCAACATGCAGGCATAGGAGGCAGGCACTGTAACTTTTTTCCTCATAAAGAGGGGAAAGTGAGGTAGAGAGAGACCATGAGCTACATTTTGCAGCCAATGATGTTTTGTWACCAGATCTTTCTAGTACTTTAAAGAAAATCTCCCATGTCAGGATTAGCTAAACCACCACAGTTCAGCTAAAATGAAGGTATAAGAAACTTCTCCTGAACTTAGGACTATTGTCTTAAGGGATAAYAATTTATTTTATTCTCTCCTGCTCCATTCCCACTACTAAGCTGCTATCACAGGCAGACATTTGCCGACCCACTGACAACACTTGCTGCAAGATTTCTGTAGGATTCAGGATTCAGAAATAACTCCTAATGCAGACCAGGTCTCACCCCCCCTAAAGCACATAATCATATACATAAAAGYACTGGCTACCTGAAGAAACAGATTCCAGTCTCAATTTTGCTAGAAGCAATCTSTGGAGCTCTATTCAGCTCACCAGCAAAACAGGGAGCAGCTGACACTCTTAATAGTGGTGTTTGTGCTCTGGCAGCAGAGGAGTCACCAGGCATCTACACCAAGGGAAAAGTGAGCCAAACACAAGACGTTTATGGTCCAGAATCTGTATTTCCCTCTAGTGATCAGCTTCTAGCAAGCCARGAACCTGTTACTGCTACAAATGTTTCTGTCCTTTGCTTTATGTGTCTCCATAATGGCTCAGAAATTACCAGCTGAGACCACTCCAAACATGCAGCATCTCCACTGATTACCATGACAGCCTTCCCAGTCAGTGAAAGACAATAATGGAACACCAGCCCTGTTCTTCCAAAAAGGCAAGATTTTTTATAGTTTTTATGTTTTATTTATGTTTTTATGTATTTCTTCCAGTGCCAGCCTTATAACAACTATTGACCCAAAAATGTTAATGCAGCATTTCCCATAAATTTCTTCCCCATCTATATGAATAACACTAGTTCAATATCTGAGGAGCTTGAAAAATAACCATCTGCAGGAACTTCAAACTGTTCTCAGACATCTATTTTCTCAAACTTACTTCAGCCCCACGCTGGGCACATTGTGTTTAAGCAACAGGCCCAGTCTGGTTATCCCCACACCAAGCTGAGCCAGGCACGTGGAGTCAAGGCAGGGGATACAACATATACTTATCAATGGAAAACAAGATGCAACTTTAGACACAGAACCCAATTACCACCTTAATGACTGTTCTACAGAMATTGCTCATCTGAGACACAGTGGAAAACATAAAGTGTGAATTTGGCCAGGGACACTAGACAARGAGAGTAATGGTAAAAGAGACKAGCCAGGCAGCTCCAGAGGGCTGTCTGAACATAAGGACCACACAGTGCTTCCTTACCAATAGCCAAGCGAGTTGGTTTCTTCCTTGGGGGATCCCCAGCACTGGAGTTGGTGTCATCTTCCTTCTGTCRCATTGAGAAGAAATAGGGAAAAAAGAGTTAGGGGGAAAGGCATGCTGTGGAAAGCCTTAGGATTGAAATCAAGCTAGTCTGAAAACAGAAGGAACTTCGGCAGAAATAACGTGGGAAATCCATATAACAATTCAACATAAGCAGAACTGAAGCACTGGTATCCCTTAATTCATCACAGAAACATCAGTTGTATCTGAGGAAACAGTATCTGAGCGCACACAGAGACACAACCCAGCTTTCAATTWCAGAACAAGTTTAAGCGTATTTATYTTTTACCGGTTTACGTGTTCTTTTGAGGTGCAGGTAGACCCGCTGGCCTGTTTTCTGATAGTGCTTTTCCACATACTGCTTCCCAAAGCCCAGGAACGTGTTCATGCAGATATACAAGCCGCCATCTGACTCCTGGAAGGAAGGAGGGACAAACTGAAGGGAGGTGGTAAAGAATGCCATTCCAGCTGCTAGGATAGGCATGGAAGACTAGTCATTATTCATTAAATCATGGAACAACTCATTCCTACATACCAGCCGTGAGTAGCTAGTAAGAAATAGGATGGCAAGCCCCAGCCTGGCTGTCCCAGAAGAACAGGTACTCTGGTTATGATGATGTATTAAAAAAACTATTGGCCTGCTCATKTATGGCAGAATGCTACCAAATCAGGAAAACCCTGAGCTTCCGCAAGAGTCGATCTTATACAAGGCCCTTAGTTCACAAGTTCAGAGCACAGTACAATCATTACCAGCAAAACTGTGGCACCCTGTCCAAACGTGTGACTCCCAGTGCCATCGGGAATGCTGCCAAGCTACAGCGTGAGGTAGGTTAACAGACCACTGTTTACTTTTGCTGTTGCCATCAAAAGCCTGTGAGCAACTTGGAAACAGATACAGAATGTGCCCCCACCATCCCATCGGCATCTGGAGAACACCGCACTCATTCAGCCGATACCCCTTTCAAACTGAAGGGGTAGGGGACCCAAATGAAGGGGTTGGAAAGGAGAGAAACCACTAAGAAGTTCTCAGAAGCTGCTGGGACTGAGTCAGAGTGGGCAGTGCGTAGTCAGACATCACTGTGGAGGTCGGGGAGGGAAAGAGAGCCAGGATTCCATGTGCCGCGTCCTCGAAGGACCCGTATCTTCCAGCTACAGCTYCTTTCTGCTGGGCTGGGCTCTGCCCGGACGGGCGTCCGCGGAGAAGCCCAAGGGGGACCTCGCCCTCCCGCCGCCTTCGCCCCCCCAGGTCCACTTAGGCCGGGCGGGGGTAGCGCAGGAAGCGCAGGGATGCCGGCGGGGTGGAGACGACTGGAGAAGGGACCACTGCCATCTTAATGACACAGCACCGCCTCGCCCCCCGCCTGCCGGGCCACGCCGCGCGGCGAGGTCCGGGGAAGCGACTCAGACCCGGGCAGGGCGSGACCCCCGGCCCGCCCCCCTGCGCCAGGGCGGGCCCGGGACGCGCCCCGACCCCCCACCCCCCGCCGGACTACAAGTCYCGGCGAGCACCCTCGCGGAGGGTTCGGGCCGGGAGCACCCGCTCTCCAGGGGCTACCCGGTGGGTCGGGCCGTCGCTGATCGGGGCAAGCGCCCTGCCCACGCCCGCCCCGGCCCAAGAACTACAGCCCCCATCGCGCCGCGGGCGGGCGGGGCGCGCCGCGGGGCACGCCGGGCGCTGTAGTCCGCGAGGGCCCCGCGTCCCGCCCGGGAGCGGCCGCGGCGGCCACCGGGGAACCACAAGTCCCGTGAGGCCCCGCGCGGGCAGCGCCCCGGCGGGCGGTGGGGTGGAAGCCGGCCGCGGCGGGAGCAGCCCGGGCGGTCGGGCGGGCCGGCGGCAGGGSGCGCTTACCGGCGTGTCGAAGGAGAAGGCGCACTCGTCCTTGTGGACGCGGTCGCCGGCCTTGGGCACCCGGATGGACGGCAACACCGACAGCAGCGCCTCGCTCAGCTCCGCCATGACAGCGGCTCACCGCGGCACCGCCCACAGCCCCGCCCCGCCCAATCGCAGCCCAGCGCGGTCAGGCGGGTTCTAGCCAATCGGCAGCGAGGCTGAGGGCCGGACTCGCGGTGCCGACCCGCCGGCTCGTCCAATCGCAGCCGCCCTCCGGCCATCACGGGAGGCGGTGCTGGGCTCCTAGACCAATAGTGGCGTAGAGAGGGGCGAGGGGGCGGGTCTGTCCCCGAAGATTGACAGCGGGGCGAGGCGGGACGTGACGGGCGGGGACTGCGGAGCCGACGGGAAGCATGGGCGGGGCGATGGGCGTGGCGCAGCGAGCCCCGCCCCCGAGGAACGGCCAATGGGTGACGGCACCGCCCGCCGCGCGGGAGATTTGAACGGCGCGTCCGGCGGGGCAGGGGCGCAGTGCGGCTGCCGCCGCCATGGGGGTCTCYGGCAGCGCCCCCGCCACCCCGGCCGCGCCCCGCAACAAGCACCTGGCACACGTTAGCGACCCCCGCTCCCCTACCGCCGGCATCCTGCGTACCCCCATCGAGGTAGGCGCTGTCCCGCAGCCGCCACTCTCCCCTGTGTGGCTCCGGCCCGTCGCCCCCACGGCTGCCCTCTCTGCAGGTGGTGAGCTCCCCGGCGGGCAGCCTGCAGCCCAGTCCCGCTGAGCCGCAGGCGGGCACTGGCCAGGAGCGGGACCCACGGTCACCCACGCCCGGCATCTCCCGCACTCCCATGAGAGCCSTATCGAGTGGTGAGTGAGGCCGCCGTGCGTGCGGGATGGGCGGGTTGAGGGGCTGCGCGACTCAGAAGCTCCCCCCGCCCCTCTCCATTCCCGGCAGACAGCGTCGACCGCCTGGTGAAGCAACTGAGCGAGGCCTTCGGAGCCGAGCCCGAGACCCAGGAGCCGGCGCCTCCGGGAGCGGCCGGCCCCGCCGAGGAGCCGGTGCGGCGGAACTCCACGGCCGGAGAGGAGAGGCCTTCTCCCAGCACGGCCCCGGCCCGGCCTGCCCGCCCTGCTGGGCACAGCTTCTCTTCGGGTAAGTGCTCTGCGTGGGGGTGACAGGGCTCTGTGTGCCCGCAGAGCTGCGCGGGAGGGCTGCCAGCGAGTCGGGGCTCTTGGCAGCCTCTGGTTCGGGTGCCTTCTCCAGGCTTGCTACCCGACAGAGCCTGTCGCTATCCCCCAGTGTCCCACGGCATGGGGCCTTTGAAGCCGGGAGACCCTTTTGGGAGCTCTTGTGCTATCGAATCGAGTTCTTTCCAGAGTTGCAAATCAAAATCAAGAGAYATATGACAACTGTTACCCTCTCTGAAATGAGTTTGTGACTGTGGAGACCTCTTCAGAGGGACYTTCCAGTTTCTCCTTGGGAAGAGCTAGGGAGCAAGGGTGGGAAGCACATCTCTATGGATGGCTGAGTGGTGCTGAGAGATTTTGATAATAGACTGTGCTCTGGATAGCTCTGTGCTGAGCATCTCTCCTAGGAGGAACAGCTGAGAACTGGGACTGTTCAGTCTGGAGAGGAAAACACTCAGGRAGTATCTTATTAATAGATACAAATACCTGCAGGGAGGGTATAAGGAAGGGTGAGCCAGGCACTCTTCAGTGGTGCCCCATGTTGGGACCAGAGGCAGTGGGGACAGAATGCAACACAGGAAGCTCCTGAACATCAGCAAACACTTCTCCTACTCTGCGAGTGCCAAAGCACGAGAGCAGGTTGCCACCTGMTTTAYTGCAGAGAAGTTGCAGAATATATTCTTTGAGAGACTYGAGACACCTGAACAATGGGCTCTAGGTGGCCCTGCTGGAGCAGATCCTCTGGAATTCCCTTCCTAATTCAACTTAACTGCAATCCCTTTGCCTTGAAGCCCTTGGGTACGTCTTTGCTGTACAGGCAAACAAGCTGGATCATGAAGGCCAGGAGGCACTTRAAATTCAGGACCTTCAAGCCTTATGATGCACTGATGTGTTTCCTTTTGTCACCTAGTGAGCAARCCTGTAAAACACAAGCCTAACAACAAATTCATGGTGACGTCTGGAGGAACCGGCCGCTCTCCCCTCAGCATTTTACGAGATGATAATTCTCCCAGTGCTGCTCCTCGCCAGGTAAAGCTTCATGGGTCATRCTGAGGGAGGGAGATTGAGCTGAAAAAAAAGCCAAATGCTTCAATTTGTGTATCTTGTAGGGCCCCAGTTTATACTTGTAGGCCTTTGAGGCTGTAGAGCCTAGTGACTTCATAAATATTTTTCTGTGGGTCAGTCTTGTCCCTAAATGCTTCCAAGTCTTGTTCAATATCTGTCTTTAGCTGTGCTATGCTATTGACCATTTCAGTGCATTCTTTCTCTTTAGGAAAATGCCCTGTCAGTCTTGTGCATTTTCACAAGAGAGCCCAACCTGWATGGCTGAAAATAGGCTACATATTCCACTGAGAACTATCTAACCCTCAATTAACTTGTGTTTTACACTYTGTGTTTGGGTTTTTTATTTCTCTAGGGCAAGCGGCATGTGTTGGGAGAGARCCTTGGGGAGAAGAAGGAAGTGACAGTGGATCTGAGCAGGAGTCTTAAATCTGGGAACTGTGCTTGGAATGACTTGAACAAAGAGAACCARCAGTGTCCTTTTGTGGAGAATTAGAGAGTTTCTTTTTCAGGATCTTGCCATAATCTGCTTCTATGTTTTGAGAGTTTTCTAGCAGGGAGAAATCCTGCAATAGACTGAACCTCCAGAGCAGTGGTCACATTTCTCATATATCTCAGYTGGGGAAGAATCTCTCCTTCCCATTCCTAGTTTGTCATGTCTTATGTTCAGGATAGACTTTGTCTCTTCTATGGTATATCAGCTGTATTGATTTTTCCATAGAGTTTTTTATCTCTAGTAAATAAATTTGTGTTCAAACTTTGCTGAGTGTTTGTCCTAATAGACCTAGCAGGAGCCCCCTGCTTAACCACAATATTTTCTTTGGGACAAGGATTCAGGAACAAATTGTTCAGCCTTCCATGAGCTGTAAAATTGCCCTGTCCCCTGCCTGTAGCATGCTGAAGGGCATGGCCTTGAATCCATAGACAACAGGATGTGCTGGGAAGCTGCAGCTCATTGCAGGAGACTGATGTATGCACACTGTCACTTCTGACATTGTATTGCTCCTATGCTGGCCTGAACGTGAGGTATGCAAAGCACTGTAACCTATTGTAGGGGTCTGGCATAGGCTGGCTCAGGACAGGAGATAATATTGCCCATTAATACTGACCTTCTGTTGATTAGTTACWAAACCTTGTTGATCTCCAACTCTGCCTGGCAGAGTTTGGGACCCCCCAGGCTCTTGGTTTGAGCCRACAAGTGGAGAAGGGGTTGAATAAAATGGATGTGTCCTGTAACTGACCTAAAATATCCAAGGTGTGAAAGGGTGCACTTTCAGCTCACTATTCCAACTTCAGCCTCTTCCCAACAAAAACATGTGAGGAGCACCTTACCCTGGGGACTGAGGTGTCTGGTTRAGAGCAGCAGGCAATATTCTTGGGAAAGGAGTTATGTTTGCAGTAGCTCATTGCAATGCTGGAAAGAACACAGCCTGCAGTGCTTCTGTGAGCTTTCTTTATTTGCCTGGGCTATGAAGATCTAAACAGACTTGAAAACATGGGCTGAGGGCTACTGGGTTGATAGGGTCACCACACAATGCAGGAGTGAGGCAAAGAGGGAAGGAACGGCAAGAAGCAGACAATAAGAATAAATATAATATTCCCTGATATTCTGGCAGGTGTTGAGAGCTACCTTTCTGCCATTTATGCATAGATAAGATTTGAGCTAAGAAAAGAATAAATATATTCCCTGGTATTSTGGCAGGTCTGAAGGCTGCCTTTCTCCCCTTTATGCATAGATAAGACTCAAGCTAAGTCTTCCCCCATGGAAATGAGCCAAATTTACACTAGCTTTTTGTTTGAGGTGGTGCCATAGCAATTTCAAATCCAGTGTGTCTGGGGCTGCCTGTGGGGCTATAGGACAGCTGCATTGAGAAGCYAGGTAGAGTTAAATGGGGAGAAAACTTAGTCTGGGATGGATGTTGCACGAGGGGTCCTCTGAAGGAGGAGGATGGGTATCAGTGTGAGTAAAGGTGTTTGAAGGRAGGTGCAGGGTGTCTGAATTGTACTGTAAAGTCCTGAGACAAAGAACAGTATTTTGCAGGTCTTCAAGCCTGCACAAGGCTGGAAACTGCTGGGGCTGTGTAGAGGTGGAGAGAAGGGCCCGTGTGTGTGCTCCTGCTCCCCAGCTCCCCCTGCTTCTCCTCCCCGATCTCCCCTTTCCCTTGCACTCTGGGAGACTCCTACAAGTGACCTGTGTCTAGAGACAAGCGAGAGTGGTAGGTAGGCGTTGCTGTTGTGCTCATCTGATGATGCTGTTTGCATGGGCTCGGGCTGTGGGCCGTGCTTCCGCTGCTCTTCCCCTCTCTGCTGCCTCCTCAGTTCCAAATCTTGAGGAAGCTGTCCCAGGAGCCAGTGGCAACAGCCATGCCATCCGCTGTCACCCCCAGGCAGCTCACTCTGTTGTCGTGGCCAGAAAGGATCCCTGCGGCAGGAAAGAAGAGAGATCAGGGAGTGAAGGGGGGCTTCTGAGAGGCAGTGGGGTTGACCCTGCTGAGGACACGTGGCACAGGCTGTGCCTACACCCCATTAATGGCCCTGTCTGCCCTGGCACAACCTGTTACTGTCAGTGCGTGRTGTAGAAACAAACACAYAGACCTGTGCRTGGTGTACAACCACCACACACGGGMCCAGCCAGAGCTCTTGGGAAGGTACAGCCAGCTGAATCCTCACACAACTGCCTTCACCCTGGAGTGACAGTAAGACTAAAATAGGATGGGGCCCTTGACAAGGCTGAGAAACAACAATGCTGTTGGCGGGCTATGATTCATAGATTTTCAGTGGGTAGGAGACACATCTGAGAAAAAAATGTTGTGTATTCTGTGTATAAGYATCAAAGAGTGCCTAAAGATGCTGGATGGAAGCCCAGGTGCACGCTTGGCTTGCTGCCTGGCCACCAAGTGGCACTGTGAGTACCTGGAACTGACAAACGGCAGAGCAGGGAAGGTAGGAAATTCTACTAGTGGTTGTGAGCAGTTTTAGCTAATAGGAGCCTTCTTGTACCCCTTGAAACAATGTTATTTAAAGGCTTGACTTCCCTGACATTAAAAACAATAGCTCTGCTACATTAGTGAGGGTTGTCCTAATTCTAGTGTACTCCCTAAGTGCCAGGGAGCTTTGCTGGGTTTCAGTCAGCACAGGCTGTGTTCTGTTCAGAAAAAATAAGTGCCTTTTCCTTGCCTTTGTAGGGACACAAGGCTTTTCAGGGAGTGAAAGAGGGACCTCCAGGAGCCACTCACCCACACGCTCTGCTTTCAGTGAGTCCCAGATGTTGCAGTTGAAGTCGTCATAGCCAGCAAGCAAGAGCCGCCCGCTTTTGGAGAGGGCCACGGAGGTGATTCCGCAGATGATGCTCTCGTGGGAGTACACGATGAGCTCCTGGTCCGCCCGCAGGTCGAAGAGGCGGCAGGTGGCATCGTCGGAGCCGGTGCAGATGGCTTCGCCGTTAGGGAAGAACTGCAGAGGGCACACACCACATTTAAATGAGGTTTTCCTCAAATCCTGATGAAATTCCTCAAGCCCTTATCTCCCTGCTAACCACCAGGAAGCCATGGAGGCAGGAAAACCTAGAGGGACTAGACAYTGGGTCATAAAATTTGAGTCTGGTGAAGGGGGAGACTGGTACTTCTTATAAGGCCTAATAAGCCCCTTCCACTCCAAGAAAACAAATGGCCTAGAGGCTAGAGCTATTGCAAGACATCTCACTGCTTGAGGAAGGATTATTTTAGCTGTTAGTTTGGGRCTTGACAAGTGTCCACTCCTTATTCCCCAGCTGAGGTCTGGCATAATTCTGGCTATGAGAGCCTTCCTCTGTCTGATCCTCATATCCCAGCTTTCTCATCCATGCTCATTTTCTGTGGCCTTGCTCTGAGRAGTAAAAAAAGGGCTCCTCAGGAGCAGGTATGGAAGAAAACCATGGGGCTGGCAAGGTATAGGACTACTGAGAAGGGTTTTACTAATTTAACTCARTGGAGGGGGGTTGGAGACCTTTATCACCCTTATGACCGTGACAGCTTCTTTCAGCCTTGTCCCAAGCCTGTTTCGGAGCTGRTCCATCCCCATTTTCCATGCCTCCCCACCGCTGTGCAGTGTACRTACGGAGATGGCGTTGATGTCGGACTCGTGCCCTTGGAAGGTCTGGCGGCAGGAGCCCTCCCGCACGTCCCACAGTTTGGCAGTAGCATCACAAGCCCCAGAGATGAAGAGTTTGAAGTCTGGGGAGACGGCCAAGCTCATACAGTCTCCAGTGTGACCCAGAAACACGGTCTTCTGCTGCCCTGTCTCGATGTCCCAGAGCGCGCTGTGGGAGGAGAGGGAGWGGGAGAGGAGAGAGATCTCAGAGCCAGCCCAGGCAGAACAGACCTGAAAGTGGGCTGAAGAGCTGTCCCACTCACAAACAAAAGGAGGGAAGCCATGGCTACATCATAGTAAAACGTATGAGAGCATCCCTGGAGTCAGTTGTATACAATAGGAGATATTGTCACARCTGTTGCTGGCAATGCCTTTGCCAAAGCAGAGTTAGACTAAGGCTGGCGGTGCGTGAGGTTTGGTGTATTTCCATAAGTGCAACAGCTGGGAATACTGAGAGGAGGTAAGAGTGATACAAACAGCAGAAAATAGCAAACAGCAACGTCTGCTGTGTCCACACTTGTAAGATGTAAAGCTCTTGTTCAGTGGGATCCCACACCACAGCCAAGCAAACAAGCCCTGTGTGACCCCAATCTCTGATGGAAATGCCACTTGTCCTTGGTCAAGAAGTTCTTCCAAAGCATGTGTTGGGATGGGGTGGAGTGAATAAAGACTCAGCATTGTTCAGAGGCACAGCAGAGTGAGCTCTGAGAACCAGGAACCAAAGGATGCAGGCACTGTCTCTGCAGCTGTCCCTTGCACAGTGGACAACCCTTGAAAAGTGGAGAATTTACGGGTGCTCCACATAAAATGCAAACATTTTCTGTCCTGSTATAAATGACACTGTTCTTTGTGAGAACTGATGACATGGTCCCTACTGCTTGTCCTGRCCTCAGCTGGGAAAAGAAGCATCCATTCTGCCAAGGGAGGAAGAATGGATCAGGCTTCCTAAGGTGCTCTGTGTGKCCTCCCCACATTCTTCTGCAGAGCAGAAGGACTGCATTTGTTGCTGCRCTAAGAGCAGCAGGAGATCTCACTCACCATGTGGTATCTCCAGAGCTAGTCACAATATTGTTGTCATCAAGAAATCGGCAGCAGGAGAGGTATCCTGGGAAGAGGGAACAAGCAAATATGAGACAAGGGGCAGGGATAGAAGGGTGGTTTGGAAGCAGGGGCATCCAGTTGCAGGCAGGAGGTGCACACACCTGTATGGGCTGAGAGCTCCCTGCTCACTTTGACATTGCCTTCACGAGACTTGAGGTTGTAGATGGAGCACACGTTGTCAAGGCCTCCACAGGCCACAAAATTGCCAGAGGGGGCATAGGCACAGGTCATGACCCAGGAGGAGCGCAAAGGGATGGCATGAACCTGGGAGGACAAGAAACTGTGTCAGGACTCTTGGCAGCAGAGAGAACGGGCCAAGGGCACCAGCTCCRAGGGGACACACTCCAACATCCCGGTTTGCAGCCACCTGACTCCTACCTTGTTAGTTGTGTATGTGTCCCACACAATCAGTTTCCCRTCTTGTGAGGCACTGACCATAAGTCTGTGAGAAAGGAACAAGGTCACGTTAGCAGCTCTCTTCCCATCAGAGCCTTCCTTCCCAACGCACCCGTGTGCTGCCCTGCACCCAGCAGATCACCAGCAGCGCTCACTTGGAGTCTGTGGACCAGTGCAAGGCGTAGATCTTGGCCAGGTGTCCCCGCAGAGTCCTTCGGGTCCGCATCTGGATGCGTCCTACAACCTCCATTCCAGACACAATCTGAACAGAGGGTGGCAGGAGAGAGAGAATTAATCTTGGACTACCGGGGTACGCATCTCTGCCTCCTAACTCCTTTCTGACTGCAGAAAAGCCCCCGCAGAGCAGTGCTAGCTGAGTCCCCCCACACAGTCACCTGCTCAGCCAGCCCTGTCCCTTACCTGAGCAAGCGTTGTGTCTGCACAGGCTTTCCGGGCATCCTGGAGAAGACACAAGAGGAGATGAGACAGATTAAAAACGTGAGGGTAAGGMGATGACAAGTGAAATTCAGGGTCATAGACTGAGGGCTACTCAAAGTAGGAACTGTGGCTTTACTGTGTTTGGATTGTGGCCAGCCCAGGGGGATTCTGGCCTGTGTTTAGGGCACCTTGACACCAGTCAGATACCAAGAAGGTGAGCCAAAATTTGCTCAGCATCCAGTTTGCTGCCCTACACCCTTTCCATGGACCCTCCCACCTAACGCCAGCTGTCTTACAGGAGATCCTGGGGATTCACTACGCTCTTGGGATCCCATCCCCTCTTCTCTCTCTTTCCCTACCACTCTTCCCCCCACCATGGTGTGAAGATCTCCACTAGCATGTAAAGGGCTGTGGAGAGCTGCAGAGGGCTCCAAGGATGTAGATGGAGAAGGCCAACTGCAGTTTTGGATGAGGAGGAAAGTTTGGGCATGCGGTGGGGGGTAGACACGCTCTCAGCAGTTCCATGACTGTTGCCAGCATTACCGCAATCTGCTTCTTCAGCTGCTCAGCCTCCTGCTTCATCTGTTCCATTTCCCCCATCTTTCTGACCTAGGGGTGGCTCCTCCACGTGGGACAGCCTTGATTCTGGGGAGACAAATCAAAGGAGAGAGGTGTTAGATAGGACACAATGTGACTGCTCAGTTATGGAAATGTGGGTACCTCTGATAAAGGATTAATGACCATTTCTTGGCTCAAAGCTTGGTTATGTTGTGCTGTATCTGGCCGCAGCCCTTAGCATTTGGGAAGATTWTACTGGGTGTGGTGAAAGTCCATTTTGTCTTGGATCCTGCTTACACATACACATGAAGAGCTCCAGAGCCTCTTGCTGAGGTTCTGGCCACACTTGTCCCCTCATTTTTAACCTCTTCATTCCAAGCCCCTGGGTCCTCTTCACCAGCTTCTTCCAGGTCATGGCCAAGCTGTCCACCTCAGCTCCAGGAGGAGGAAACTTGATTGCGGGGTGCTCAGTGGCTATTTCCTACTGTTTTTCCTAGGGAAAGCTTCACCAGRCAGGACTCACCAGCTCTCTGATCACCAAGGAAATCTGTGGAGCTGTTGAGGTGCACTGCCAGGGTTCCCTTCTATTTTTGCATCAAAAACCCAAARCRGAACAAAATAAAAACAAACAARTAAACAAAAGAGACCAAAACAAAATAAAAAGAAAGGTGGATGCCTAGGGAAGGATCTAAGAATGGCATAAGCCAAGAGTGGTATTTTCCCTGCTTGCTCAGCCCCACCTTTTCATTGACATCCAAAGATAGAGCAGCATTACTGTCGGCAAGTCCTTGATGGACTTTTCTTCTGTGCATTTGTCCACACCATCTTGGTGCCCATGCCATGCTGACCATCCTCAGCACCCCATGGTGATGACTTCCACAGCTGGGTGGCAGACTCTGCAGAGAATTTCCTGCTTCTGTCACTCCCCAGTGGCACTAGTTCTACTTGAGAGTAGCTATATTTTGAGTTGGAAGAATCAGCAAATAACTGGTCCTATTCACCTCTGCATCACTCGTTATTTTATATATCTTTGTCATATCAATCTCTTTTCCAGGCTGCAGAGCAAATTTAGTCATTCCTCCCATGTATGCTGTTACATCCTATTACCTCTGTTGTTCTGCGAGCTTTTTTCAGTTGTTTACAGAGTAGAGATGATGTTTTTGCAGGGAGAGCAGGGAAGCAGAACTCTAATCCATATTCAAGATGCAGGTGCACTGTTCCATTATACAACATCTCTGTTTTGTTCTCTCTTTCTTGTTACATGTACTTAAATCTTCACCGGTGATTATATCATCTCCCACTTTTGTAGACAAGTGTGATCTTTAATTGCTCCAACATTTCTCCTTGATAGATGTGAGTGTCCAGGTGCTGTCCAAGAAGTGTTCCAGCAGCAGCTGCAGAATTTCTCCTAGTCCCTAGTGGGTCACATCATCTCCATCCCTCTCTGGCCTGTTGCCTGAAGGCCTCATTTTCTCTGGCCAGTGAGGCATTGGGTACTTCCATGCCAGGCTTGCTCTCTTGCTCTGGGCAAGCACATCCAGACAGTGCTCAAGTCCTACCTTTGCTTGCTGTTTGATGATAGAGCTTTTTGAGTTTCCCTTAAGTATTCCTTCCCCTGCATGTCTCCATGGCTTTCCTTTGATCCCCCAGGCACAGTGAATTTTTGCTCGTTCAGTGATTCCTGAGGTATGGCTTTGAGAGTAGCAAAGATAAGGTTTCCCCAAGCTCCTGGAAGGCCGTCCCAGCAGGAGGATATTTCAGGATATACTTTGCAGAGAGGGATCTGGGCCTGCAGCCTGCAGAGCTGGACAGAGCCACAGCACTGSTGACTCGTCCCTGCTCCCTGGCCATGCCCTGGATGCGGCTGCCAGCCCCAGCACATGGTGAGGGAGCAGGAGGGCAGCCCGGGCTGCAAGCTCAGTGCCCAGAGGAACACACTACAGCCATGGCCTGGAGCTGCCAGTCTCAGCCACGCTGAAGGACAGGAACAGACCAGAACCTGCACCTTTCCCCTGGCTTTTCCTCTCTTCTTCCAACAGAGCAGCGATGAGGGGGTTCCTCCCAGCAAGGATGCACAGCTGCACCATATTGAGGCAGCCYGGCCATGAAAGCTCACCTCCATGCACTTCCCCTCCTTTGGGAAAGGGCTGGCATGCTACTSCACCTCTGAGCTGACTGACAGAGTGGGGAGAGGCTGGGGAAGGCCCTGCAGCCTTCAGTCAGAGGCTGTGCATCCTCCTCATCCTGCGGTGTTTGCCCCTCTGTCCGAGTGCACAGTCAGGCTGCAAGGCTCCATCCAGCTCCAGCCACAGCCTACAGCATACCAAGAAACACCCCTGAGCTTCCAGCCTCCCTGTGCAGCCAGCCCTACCACTGTGACCCACACTTTGCTCTTTCCCAGAGGTCCTTAGGACCGATCCATCAATCCGAGGCATTGCGTTATCTTTTCCTGCTAGGTAACCTCTTCTCTCTGATTCTCTCCTTCCAACCTCCTTTGCTCGGTTCCCAGATTCTTCAGGCTGTTATTTCAGACACCTTTGGCTATCTGGAATCATTGTCCATCCACCTGCCCTAATTTGTCTTTGCAGACATCTGATTTTGCCCACCCAGACCTGCACAGAGGTGGGACCCTTGTTCTCCCTTCCTTCGAGTTTCTGCTCCAGGTGAAGCTGACTGTACATGTCCTACCCATTACCCATCAGATACCAGTCTTCCTTTCATTGCTCCTGCTTTTTTACCACTCTCTTCCCTTCTCTGGGTGTTTTTCAATTCTGTCAATAGCACAGGAATGCCAGTTCACTGCTCTGTAAAGCTGCACAACCAGATGAGGGGCTTTCAGAGCCGTAGGCAGATCAAGCGGCAGGGGCAGAATGTCGAGGACGGATAAAAAGGGCTAAATATAGAGAAGGTGCAGCTCAGGATTCTGTCCGAACCTTTAAATCCCTCTGAGGGAATACTCTAAATGAAGTTGGGAATTGTTCTCAGCCTCAGAAGGACAAGGAGCCCCAGATGAGTGATAATAATAGCTCCATCTTTGCCTGTCGCCTTCATCCATCACGTCCCAGTGTAATTTGTGGAGAGTGAGTTGCCCGCTCCCCAGCGTAGTGCAGCTGCCTCCCAGAAGGACCAGGGCAGGTGTGCAAAAGAGCAGCTCATTATGTAAATTTAGGACAGGAAATAGGAGGAACCAAATGGGGGAAGAAGAGAGGAAAGGGGAAGGGAGTTTGTAATTTGGCCAATGCATATTCCTGCTTTGGCCAGCAGGACCTTAGGGATACACATTCCTTGTTGATCTAAGGATCAGCTCACTGTTGCTCATGGTGGTTGCCCAGGCTGGTTTTAATGGGAAAGGCTTCTAAATGGTGCACAATAGGTGCTTCTGGCAGTAAGGGCTYTTTCAGGTGAATGCTAAGTAGCAGAGGAAACCGAGTGCTTGGGTACCTTTGACAAAAGCAATTCACCACCCTCAGCACAGCTGCTGACAGAGGATCTTGGCACCAGCACTGCTCCAGTGTTGTGCCTCCCACAAGCAGCACCAAGGAGCACGACACAGCCAAACAGAGCCTGGGCTTGGCTGGTTCGCAGCAGCCCTGCTCTGAGCTCGGCCTTAGCTGCTCTCATCTAGTTCACAGCTCTTGGTTTTTGAAATCACATTTTGTTTCTTCTGCTCTCCAACATAACAGTTTTTTCCCCTCCTGCCTTTTCCAACAAATTTCCTGCAGCAGCACTCCTGTCTGTGGGCAGCCAAACCCATCCTGAGTCCTTGGGCCTCTGCTCATAGCAGATCAAATGCCTCTACGGCGGTGCAAGACAGAGGGGGATCTGGAATCATCYGTCTTCTGCCTTTTGCTGCCACACCCTGACTTTTCAGAGCAGCAGCCATATCCCTTGCACCATGCCATGGAGGGGGCCCAGCTTGGCCCCGGGGGCTGTCCCTTTGAGTCACCTGTGTCACTCCCTCGTGGGGAWCAAGGTGTAAGTAATGGGTGGGAGAAAAAGGGAAGGTGAACACCCTTAGTATCTATTCTTGGGTAGGGTCCCCCACACTGGGGAAGGAGTGGTCCCTCTGTGGAATATTGGGAGAGGGCTGCAAATGGAAAAGGGAAAGGTGCAAGAAGAAGGACTCAGTATTAATAGGCAGCGTCCCTGGGTCTCTGTGTAATCCCTGACCAGCTTCGCAGGATCGCCCTGGTGACCCTGGGCTCCTTGCAGAGCCGGATACAGAGATGATCCCTCTCTCCTGTGATGGAGATCAAAGGTCATGGTAAAATTACCCTGCTCTGCTCCTTGCTTTCTGAGGGCTCCTTCTCCACCCAGAACAGCAGCCATCTGCAAAGAGGTGTGGACAGGGCACACTGGGAGTGCAGGGCTGGCGATGGGCAGTGAGTGCCAGGTCCCCCAGGGAAAGTGCTACCCTCCTGCTCCAGTCTGGAAACTGGTGAGATTTACCCRCCAAGGGGGGAACAAGCAACCCTACTCAGCACAAAGCCCCACATCACTGTAAAGACATCTCAGTGCTAAGCACAACTCCTTTCCCACCATTATCTTACCCACCCTCACCTTCTGATGGGATGAGCCCTTATTCAAAGACTCCCCATAGAACGACTCCAAGAAACTCAGGGTTCCCAAATGCCAGATTCACCCAGGTGACCTCAGGCATAACAAGGCGGCAAACTCACCGGGATCTGTAGAGGAAGATGCGTCGCAGTCCCCTCTGGATGGGACCCTCACAGACTGCCTCCCTTGCTGAGAATGGCTCCTCGTTGCCCACAAGCCCCTTGTACCTACGCAGTCTCCWGTCGGTCCCGTTCGTGCACCCAGCGAGTCCCTTGCTCCCTCTCTGCTCCTCAGCCTCTCCCAGGACTGATCTCCCCATGGGGAGCTGGAAGGCTGTGGACGGGAGGGGTTGGGGGAGGGCTGATTCCAGGAGCAGCGTCAGGCAAATTAAATCAGACACCAGAGACTTGGGGAAATCGGATTGGGACGTAATGCAAAGCAGGTGGATGGGGAGGGGTAAAAAGAGAGAGTAGCACACTGCTCCTGAAGGGAAGGAAACCATCCCAGGCGGATTTGACTCCCTCTGTTTATATCAGCAACAAACTAATAAAGTGAAGATTAGCCAGAACAGGCTAGGATTATCAGCCACCAGGGCAGGGCTTGCTGTACCTCATAGTCACAGGAATTCCTGTTTTCCCAGGGAGAGCGTGCCACTCGYGTCCTGGGCAGGGCGGAAAGAGGGATGATGCCACAACCACAGAGGGCCTGCAAAGGGAACACCAACGGCAGGGCCACCACACCCTCTCTCAGCAGCAAAAGGGGCTCTGGATGGGAAAAACAGAACTGGGCACAGGGGCCAGGGGTAGCAAAAGATTTGGTGGCATGCCTTTTGGCAGCCACTTTAGTGGGATGCTGCGAGGGGATTATCTTGGCCTCAATCTCTTTTAATCTCTCCCGCAGCTTTGGCCCAAGCCCGAGATAAATACCTTTTAACGGATCTCATCTGACGTCAGGAGGCCATCAGTCTAATCACCCAGGCCACCTTTGGGCAAAGCAAGCCAGAGATGTGGACACTGGCCCCTCACCCCCCAACATGTCCTCACCAAACAGGAACCACCCAGCATCCCCACACGAATCATCAGGATGGACGTGTGAGTGCCGGGATGTGACAGGCCCCTTGCCAGGAAGAGGGAATTTGAAATGCACACATCAAACTTTTTCCTGTGATCCTTGGGAAGCATGGGAAGCACAAAGAGTTGCCAATTGAGCTTTCCTGAGCTTGCGTATTAGAAAGTCTCCGAAGGATTCAGATAGAGGAAAGACTTCCCTGTCCACGGAGCAGGGAACCCGTGCCAAGAGTGTCAAGGGATCACCCACCCCTGGCCTGGGTCCTACAGACTTCTTCCACTTGAACTGCAGTTGGGGTCTCCATGCACAACTCATCAAGGCTTGAGTATGTCATGACCACAGATTGATCTCTTGCTCTAATGCTTCCCAGGAAAAGGGTCACTGCTCTTTTTGATACTCCATATCCACCCCATTCAATTCCTATTTGGCTACAATATAATCTCATCTCGGGACACTAATCCCCTGGGCAGTGACAGCAGATTGTCTTTCTATCAGGGTGGAAAATGATAAACAAAATCTCTCCTCTGCTTTCAGGGACAATTTAGTGCCTGGAGAAGAGGAAAAAAACCCAAAACAAAAAAGAGAGGCCTTGCTACAGGGAAAGGTGAGTATACAGTGCTTTTTCTTAAAGGCACTCTTTACCCTTTCTACATTAGTCATGGCAGAGCTGACTTTCTCTCTTGCTCTCCCTTCCTGCAAGTAGCTGGCATCTGGACAAATACTTTGCTTTCTTTCATCGAGGGCTCAATCCCCTTCCATCATTTGTTAATTAAATTTCAATCAGAAACAAGCCTGCATGTCTCCCTGGTGCACAGACTCAAGCTCACACCATTATCTGTGTCCAGCATTTTGCTTTTATTCCATATATTCACAGTCCCTCACCTTCCCTGTCTCTGACCACTTGCAGAGTTCTGGAGTTCGCACATGCGTAGGAAATTCAAAGGCTTCAGTTTTGAGATCCTGAATGTGAGAYAGCCCTTGCTGAAAGACTTCATGCTCCTCCTCCCCCTCTCAGATTTAGCCCTGGATGGCCAAGAGGTTGGCACTGAGAGGAGTGAGGTGAGAAGGCCTCRTCTTCTTATTTCCAAGTGACACAAGCACAGTGACGCAGTGAAGAAATTTTCTGGCATCACTGACTTCCACACTGTGCCCTTCTCCCATTTTTCAGCTGCTGGGACATCACAGAGAAGAAAGCTGCACCCCTCCCCATCACTACGGCTCTGCCACGCTAAAGCACTGCTCCAGGCCTCCATGGTCCCGGTCCTCCCGTGACCTGCCAGGCCATGGTGTGTGACAGTCCTGCCCCCAGGGCCCCGTGCACTCAGAACTCATCTCTGACCCGCAGCACCTTGGGCTGCTGCTTCCTGTCCGAGCCAGGCTTCTGTCTCCGATCTGCAGGCTTGGCTCCACGGCTGCGAGCAGGAGGCGCTGAGGAGGATCTGCTGCTGCGGCCAGTTCCCTGACGTTCATCTCCATCAGGCTGGTCCTGCTCCACAGCCCTCTGCTCCATCAGCTCCGCTGCCTTCACCCGCTCCTGCAGCCATGGAGACAGAAATGATGTGAATCCTCCCTGCTGGGGCCTCGACCCTGCTYGCAGGGGCTGACAAGACACATCCACCCAAACGCCCCAGGGCCCATCCTCTCCTGCAGGACCCATCACAGGCTGCCCCCTTTACCAGGCACCTTGTCGGAGGACAACCCCCAGRGCTGCACTAGGCCCTGCCCTAAGGGAAAGCCCAAAAGCTGTTCCTCAGTGGGATCTGATCTCCCTTGGAGGTACTTRTGTTTATTTCTCCAGCACGGCCCTTCACCTGCTCAGCATGCTCCTGGGAGTGTGTGTACCAGAGAGCAACAGCGCAGCGCCTGCCACGGCTCACGGCCCACACGCCATGGGGGTTCTCCTTGCCAGAGCTGAAGGCTACCAGCCTCCCACACTTTGGACGCACCTCAGCCTGCAGGAGAGAGAGAAGAGACCGTGAAGCCAGCAGCTCCCTGCTCTGGAGTATGCTACAGAGGTGACACTGCCTCTGGGAACATGGAGGAGCAGAGAGCTGCTAGGCATCCATGGCCAGTCTATGAGCAAGGAGACCTTGGAGAGGGACAGAGAGAATCAATGGGACAATAAAGGTCACAGACATCCAAGACTGGAAGAGCCCAGAAATCTCAGCTAGGAAAGAGTCAACCTCTCATCTGAGATTTGCCTCAATTTGCCTTTAGCTGCCCCTATTTGAATCTACCACTGCACCAGCACTGTGCAGGTTTTGGAGTGGTAGGATTCATAACCAACCAGTTTCCTCCCGCCCAGACTGCCTCAYCCTCAGTCTTCTCTCCTTCTTTTGGGAAGTCCCAGACTTACTGTGACAGTCACACTGTCCATTTCAGTGAAGAAAAGGCCCCCACCTTGGAAGTCGTCATTGAGGTAGAGAATGCCACTGTGGACAAAAGAAAGAGCACATTTGGAAGTGGTTCCCCACACTCCTTGTCACAGATTCAAAAAGGGAGTAGACCAGTTAGCAGCAGAATCCATCTGAGGGTGTTAAATACAGCAGTGCCTAGCTCTGGGGAGTCCCTGAGCTGCAAGCCACAGGAGGCTGGGAGAGTATGCCAGGGAATTAGCTCTGCATGCTTGTCCCGTTTTGTTTTGGTTTGTTCCTAATCCCCTGTAGCAGGCATCTGTGGCACTGTTGTGACAATGTCTGGGGCTTGATAGCCCTTGATTCTAACCTGTTGTTTATATTTCAAGGTTGGGAATAATCCAGTGCCTGGAAGAGAAGATTGATCAGCAAAGAAAACCACGTCTTAATAGCCAAGGAATTTCAGGGTAACATTAGAATGACCAAAAAGAGGCCTGGTGCATGCAGAAAAGAAAATGAAACCAAGAAATTTCTTCATGGAAGTTATACAAAAAAGAAGTAGTGAGGCCACTGTTCAGCACAGGTGACACCTGTGCTCAAAGAACGGACCATAAACCACCTGAGTTTCTCTCTCTATTCAAGTAAGCTGATAGAAAATATTGTAAGAAAAACAGAGGCTCTTAATTAATGGGACTGGGAGAAAGAATTATAAATCAAYACTGTGTCTGCTGAAGCAGTGTTAAGGACATAAGGGCAGTGAGAGGATTACCAGCCCTCAAACCCAGGAAGTTATAGCTCTTCTGCCACAGGGTTTTAACAAGGCTGTGAAGCCAGAGTGGTAACAGGAGTGGAGAAAAGCAAGGATAGCTCTCACACATCCGAAGGCACAGGAAGGTAGGGATAATGGCTGAAGCATAAACAGACCTGTTATCCTGACCTCAATAGTCTGCAGGGCTTTAGCCTCCATTTCTGAGAAGGGTAATTGGAGGACAAGAAGTAAATGGAAAATGGTCTTAAAATGTAACATGGGGGTACTAAAAGCAGATTGGGTTACCCACAAAATGTTTGAAAAAACAGTGGATTTTCCAAAGAAACACTATATGCTCGATCTCAGCAGTTTGGACTCTGGTAAAAGGATTTAGAATGGTGTCATGGGGGAAATTGCTAATGAAAAGAGAAGGTGAAGACAAGCGTTTGAACAGCACACAGGGACCAGTGCACCACTGGCACCCAAAGGAGCACTGTGCACCCAGAGCAGCATCACTGGAACTTGTGGGCCCCTGGGTCCAATCCTGCTCAACAGCATCATTAAGGTCCATAGCACAAATACATAGAAATGATCCAGGAAGTTTGGAACACAGGGACTTTATTTAAAATGACACTGTAAGAGCTCAGCCCTTGTGAGCTGGTTGGGCAGTCACAACTCGAACTGCAAGAGGACAGTGATACTCCCAAAAATAGCTCTGTGGTATAGACTGCAGGAAGGTATTTTATTATCCATTCAAGAGGAGGTCAGAGAACACAGGGCAGAGTGAAGTGAGAGGATGGCTTTCTCACAGGAAAGACAGAGATCTAACTAGTTAGAGGAAAAAACCTGGTAACTTTACAATCTAGTTGTACCAAGTGAGCACTGGTGTCCAAAGGGAAACAACTCAATGATACTGGAATTCCCTCTAAGTCCTATATCCTCATCATAGCTACTTACAGATTTCTGCTCTGGATACAGCTACCGTTCAAAGAGAAGACAAGTGAGATTTCTGGATGCTCAGGGATGAGATGGCAAGTGGGAAGAATCAGCTGTAGTGAACTGACCTCATCTGGCTGCAGTGTGCAACAACTGGCATCATCATTAAAATAGATGTCAGGTTCTTTCACAGAGTAACAAAACCTGCCACAGGCTGGAAAAAATATAAACTCTCATGTGGAATGGAAAAACCCAACACAAAGTATYGGCACTGAATCTTGAGAGAATAGTCACTGAAGTACACTGACTACTCAAACAAAGGAAATCCAATGAGCTTGATTATCCCTCTCCTGTAATGCACATGAGACTGAAAAAGATGGAACTTGACTAGAAGAAACAGCCTGTCAAAAGGGCTGGCAGCAGACTGTAGTACTGTGGTAGACCCACAAGACAACAGTCTGAGATCATCGATCTTACCTGTGCAGCCTCCCAGCCTCATTCTGCTCTCTGTTAAAGCTGTCTGTGAGAGGTGAGGAGGGGAAAAGGGCACGTCTTCCCAGACTAGTTCTGAAGCCACTGATGCAGACTTCTGCCTGATGCTACAGTCCTGGATGGCTTTGAGCCATCTATAAGCTCTATAAGCTAAGCTCATCCTCTGATGGGGCCAGGGAGAACTTCACATTATCTAATGCAGGTGCTCTTACCTGTAGTCCCTGTACACATAGGCAGGAGGCTCTTTCCAGCACTCTTGTCCCTCAGGATCCAAGAGACAATTATCAGCGTGGACAGGATGACTGAGATCCATGCGACCTTCCTGTTCCCCTGAAAAGTTACAAAAAGGAACTTGTTTTCAATTTCAAGAAAGAATAAAGCAGAGAGGAAGGGGTACAGTAAGAATAAAGAGAGGAAAGTCTCCTGGGAACACATGGCTGGGACTGAGGAAGACTCTGGGAGACAGGGACTAWCAGGATGAAAGATCCTTTACCATCTACAGCTGTGCGACACACAAGGTGTGTGAATGAGAAATGGAGTTTCTTCCCAGGAGTAAAATAGGACTCAATGATTTTCCGAGATTTCTCACTAGCCTGCAGAAGCAATTTGGCGTCTCTCCATTCCACGTCCCCATTTTGGGCCAGCTACAAGTGAGAARCAAGTCTGTTACAATACTTACAAAGACATTCTAAGAAATGATACACGTACACAGTGCAGAAGAAGAGACCTTGCAAAGTCCTGTGGTCACTCAGGCAAGAAATGAACACTTTTTCTCATTCCAATATAACCCAAGAGTACAACTGTACAGCACAGCAATTATTTCCTTCTACTAGGCCCATGAAGCCACATCTGGAATGCTGCATCATTTTGGGTGTCCCACTACATAAGGGACACTAGCAGACTGAAGTGAGTCTTGAATGAAGGGTCTTAAGATGGCAGGAGTGTTGGAGCAAAACACTACTCCTAGAAAAAGAAGCTGAAAGATTTTGCTTTCTTCACTCTAGAGAAGAGAAGGCCAAAGAAAAACCTAAGCACAGCCTCCTGTCACCTAAAAACGGGTTGCAGAGGAGATGGAGACAGTCTCTTCTCAGAGAGGCACACGGAAAAGAGCCAATAGGCAAAAGCTGCAGCAATGAAAATTTCGGCTAGACATAAAGAAAAATTTCACCCTTACAAGACTGATACAGCACTGAAAAGGATGCCAGAGAGGCTGGAGAATCTCCACCCTCAGAAATTATCAGGACTTGCCTATGTTAAGCCTTAAGGGATCTCATCTAGCTTTGAAATTAGACATGGTGAGAGCTGGAGGTCAGATTAGAGATCTCCAGAGATTCCTTCTACCTTAATTTATTCTCCAAWTCTAAACTAAGCTTGTCTGTAAGGCTACATCACAGGGACAAGCAGTCCCAAAACCCTGCCTCACAGGAGAGAAAGCACTTGTCAAGCCCTCCATGTACATCCCTCRATGTGACTGTGGGGGAAACAGGTCAGACCACACGTGTTGTGAGTGAAACAGCGCACCCATGACACCACCCAGTTCACAGAAGAAAAGGCTCAGGTGGCAAACTCTTTCATAACAATTAAGAAGGCAGCAGACTCACAGAACCATTTTACCTGCATGGCCTTCAAAACAGTTAACCCTTCAAATCTCTCATGTGGGGTGTGAGGCGACCGTCTTGCCCGGTATCCATCTCCTGCTTCCCCTGCTGCCTGGAATAGAAGGATACAGGTGACATGCATTGGATTGCCACCTCTCCTCCAGTAGGAAAYGCTACTACCCTGCCTGCTGAGGAGGAAAGCACACACACAGGAGTTCTTGTGGGATGCTGGCCCCACCTTTGTCAGTCGGAGAAGGTCCTTGCACTCAGACTCGGTCAGCACTCTGTCGAAYACAACCCTCTGGGTTCCATTCATCTGCTGGGAATCCATGGTGACAGCAATGCCCTCAAAAGGCAAAGGACCTATTGAGAAGCAAGCACAGRCAGGCATGAGCAAGCTTTGGAGAACAATCCCTCAGACACCAACCCCCAGCCTGGATAAGGAAGTGGAGAGACACTATACATTCTCTGAGAAGACAGGACAGTTGCCCAGAAGTGCCCATTCCTCGCAGACCCCTCACATGCTTCAGGGGAACCAGAGCACCAGCTGGGAAAGCTGGCCTACAGCGCGTGCTTCAGGAGCCAGCAGAGACTTGGGACTTGCTGGGAGAGCAGCAGGGAGCTGGGGGAAGTTGAGTGCACTGTGGATTGCAGCAGCAGACCAGGTCCAGCCTACTGGAGTGAGGCTCTGGAGAAAAGAACAGGTAAACACCTCCATCAACCTTCCTTTCAATCACCTTTTATCAACATCTTACCCCAGGCTTATCTCTGGTGAATCCTTCTACTATCTTCATCCCCAAAGAGAAGCACTGGATGTTAGCTGGTGATTTGGCTTTTTGATCTTTGGTCTTTTTTCTCATCCCCTCTGACCTCTGGATGCTGAGGAATGCCAAGGCACTCTGGCCCTCAGAAGGCTCTGCTCTCACATGTGCCAYAGCAGAGAACCACTTGGGATCATTTTAAGCAAAGATTCCAGGACAGAGCCCTGCAAGAGGCTCTCTATCCACACCTAAGAACAGGGGATCAGCAAGAACATGAGAATCTACACTGCAGTCTCTTATAATTTAGCCACAAACCCTTTGGACTTCTGTTTTTCAGGGAAAGACTTGCCCAAGCTAAATTGTCTGCTTGCAGTTTCCATTTCCCAGTCCCTCTCCCCACGTCCCTTTCAGGAAAATGCTGCTTGAAGATGGGCTGGTAGGAGTTGAACCAGGTTTGGTGTAGACACTCCTGGCACATCCACAGGCTTGTCACATATTCAGGCTGCTCTCAGCTTCTCCAGCCACAGTGCCCTTTGAGTTCACATGCCAGAGATGTACACAGTGAGATTTTGCAAGATTACACATGCATCAAAGAGGAAGAAAAGAAACAGTGAGAAGACTTGCTGAGCCATTCAAGTCAGTCTGCATCTAAGCTAGCATTCAAATGTCTGAGGGTGGAAAAAAAGACGGCACTTAGCCTGATTAAGCCTGGCTAACTGCATCCAAGACCTCCTCCAAGCTCTTTTACTCACCCCTCTTCTCCTTCTCTTCCACATCCAGAATTTCCTGCTTTTGCTTCTCCTGATCCTCTCTCGGGAGCAAGGGAAAAAACAGAGATTAGTGCTGTCAGTACACAGAGCGATGCCTAAGCCTCCTCTGTAGTAGCATTTCACACTTTTCCTGTTCCTGTTGTGCCCATTTCTCTTCGTATTACTGTTCCTTGTACCATCCCCTACTTACACTGCAGTCCTAGYTGACTTGCCCAATCTTACCTGTATTTCTCTTTTAGGTTTTCAGGAACCAGTTCATCTGGAGTCCAAAGATCCTGTAGGAACAAACGCAGATGGTTCAGTACACAACAAACCTTGCACTGCTTCTCCAGTGAATATCAGACCATTAGTTCTGGCCCAGTTCTCAGGACAGACAAATGGAGTYAATGCATACGGTTACAGCAGAAGTTTCAAATTGACTGCACTCCTGGAGCAGCAGAAAGGCCTTAAAGATCCACCTCATATGGACTTGGGGGTCCTTTTCATCAGCATCTGATCCATTCTGGATCATGGCCTACTAAAGTGAATTCTGACAACTGTCTTGGTGAAACCACAGCAGGAAGAGTAAGATGATACTGTTACTTACAGGGTCATTAAAAGTTTCTCCTAAATGCTCCACTGCATAATAAATCAACTTCTTCTCCATCAAAGATCTCTGCACATAGTGTTGAATACTCTATGGAAGCAAAGAGACTGTCAAACAACCATCTTGTAAAAGACAACCCATCCCTGTCATGCTGCTGTGCACTACTGAAGTCTGGTTTTGTCCTGAAGGAACACCGACTGTGACAGATTCTAAGTAAACTCAGGCTCCAGTTTCTTCAATTCTGGGCTTGGGTTTAGCTTTGTGTGTCCTGGACTGCAATCCCAAGAGAAGGATCAAAAAGTACAGACCTCGAGTTATAAGTACCTGTCTGGCTGTGACAKCTGCACCCTCTCCCAGTTCTGTGCGATACTGTTTCATTTTCTCCAACATGGGCTCATCCGTGGGATAGAAGAGCAAGTAGGAAGCAGCACATTCAGCAGCCAATGTCTGGTTCCCAGCTTGGCAGAAACAGAAGAGAACAAACACACACCTCTGAATGACTTGATACGAGCAGCGAATGTGAACGGTGCGCAGAGAATACAGGGAATGAACCTGGTAGAGAATCAACCTGCTGTTAATACTTATTTGCTGGGAGCTGGTATAGAAGAAACAGATTAAAAGTAAGTATAYTTTGAAAGAGAGATGGTCCCACCTCTCCCATGCAACAGACAAGWTGAGGAGCCTAGTGGCCTCCTTGAGATACAAGTTTTACCAGTGGTCTGACAGAGGAAATAAGAGACAGTTGGGTCAGCATAGGCAGGAGCAGGGGCATGCAAAAGAAGGGCTGAGGCATGTGTGAAAGTGAGAGTGACAGGATGACCAGCATCATGACAGGCCATCAGTTCAGCAAGGGCAGCCAGGGCTGACTCAGAAGGAATACCACTGCTGAGGTGAGATGTACATGTAGCCCCTAGGCAGGAGGTGAGAACCTGGTCTGGAGCCATGTACCGAAACAGAGGGTATAAAACACTCAGCAAATAGTTGGAACAAGTCTTGAAAAAGTGTGCTGGATGGAAGAAGTGGGAACAGCCTCACATGACAGATGCTGTGCAATGAGATGGAAGGAGACCATCATGAACATCTCCCTAGGTGGCCACAGGCTTAAACAGAGGTTTTGGGCAGAGTTAGGGGGCAAACAGAAGTAGAGCTCAGACCACTTTTCCCCATGACRTTGCCCTCCAGGATCTGAGGTAAAGGGCAAGTGTAGGTGTGCCACAGCATAACCTGCTGGTTTGTGGCTCTGCTCACCTTGGCTGTAGGCAAACTGCAGTAAATCAAGATGAGAGGGTATGAAATCTTCCGTGGCAGAAATTCTCCCCGGCTTTGTGGCAATTTCCAGGACACACTGCTGCCTGCACTTTAAAACCTGAATATAATGGGCTGAAAGAGAGAGGAGCAAGAAAGGCAGTAGTCCATACTTCTTCCAGACAGAAGTGCTGGGAGATGGGATGTGCCTAAGGTAGGGAGCACAGCCTTCCTACCCAATCCTCTGTGCCTCTAACACTACCTGCAATGGCTTCATACAGGCCAGGCTGCATTTGCTCCTCCTCMTCCTCATCCTCCCAAGGCCCTTCACACAGGGCACGACACTCTTCCAGGGCTGACAGGGCCTCTGTGAGCGACTCCTCCAGACTGGCCACRGCCTGCAGGTACTCATCTGCATCATAGTGCTGCACACCAGCCTCATATGCTTCCTGYGAAGGACAGATCCAGGTCCCTTCATCAGTGTGGGTGACACCAAAGGATGCCCTGAGACTTCTGAGCTGCTCATAGGGTGGTGCTGACACATAGGGGCCCGCCTGCTCAGTYAACAGCAGTAACAGCAAATCTTAGACTTAAGCCAAATAACTGTCATCAGAAAGTCTCTCTGTCACACTTGCAGTGCTTTGTCCTCAAGTTGAAGAGAAATGTTCCAAAGCCAGGTTGGATGGGGCTTTGAGCAACCTGATCTAGTGGATGATGTCCCTGCCTATGGCAGGGGCTTGMATTAGGTTATCGTTAAAGGTTTCTTCCAGGGTAAATCTCTATATAGTTATATACCTCTATAGGGTATATCTCTATATAGTGTGGGGGCCCTGTCTTAAGCCATGGCCTTTGTGTGGGAACAGATCAGGGTCCCAGACTGGTCCCTAGGGTGGAATAAGAGCTGCTCATGTGTGGCTCTGCATTAAGCMCTCACCCAGTGTGGCGTGGCCTCCAGGTCCCGGAAGCTGTCTGACTTCACTCCCGACATACGGCGGTACTTCTCAATATCCTCYCTCATCTGGAGGTGCTGGGGATTAGCCACGAAGAAGGTGTGAGCGGCAGACACGGCCTGGTCCAGCTTCTTCAGCTGTGGAGAAAAGGCAGCAGCGTCTGTCATGCTCCTGCAGGTCTGTGCTGTTCACACCCACCCSTCAGCCCAGTTCTRCCCGAGTTCACAGAATCACAGAATTACAGAATGGGTCAGATTGGAAGAGACCATAGTGGGTCATCTGCTCCAACCTCCCTGCKCAAGCAGGGTCGTCCTGGAGCACATGGCACAGAATTGCATCCAGATGGTTGTGGAATGTCTCTGCCGAGGGAGATTCCACAACGGCTCTGGGCCATCTGTTCCAGTGCATGGTCACCGACACAGTAAAAAGATCATCCTAATATTCAGGTGGAGCTACCTGCACATCAGTTTCTGCCTGTTGCCTTTAGTCCCCGTGGTTGGCACCAGTGAGAAGAACCTGGCTCCATTCCCTTGGCAACCCCCTCGTAGCTATTTATATGCATTGATAAGGTTCCCTCTCAGTTGTCTCTTCTGGAGGCTGAGGGAAAGGCGTTCACCCCCTCGGCTGCCCGGCGACCCTCCGGCAGTGCCATGCCACACCGGCCCCCTGCCGTGCACGGCAGCACCCTCGGGGGTGGCGACTCCCACCCCGCTGGGGCTCGCCCGCCCGGGGCCGGTGCCCACCTTGAAGAAGGCCACCTGGAGGTAGTTGTAGGGCTCCCTGCGCTCGAAGTCGCGGCGCACGGCGCTGCTGGCGCGGTGCGCGGAAGGCGCGGGGCGCAGCCGCCGCCCCAGGCAGCGCTGCAGGCACCCGGCGCGCTGCAGCACCGGCCCGAGCAGCGCGGCCTCCCAGCGCCCCGGCCCGCCGCGGGGGAAGGGGAAGGGCTCCTCCCGGGCGCAGGCGGCGCGGCAGGCGCGGCGGGCCGCCCGCAGCCCCGCGTAGCTGTGCAGGGCGCGCTGCAGCAGCTCGGCCGCCCGCGGCCAGTCCCGCGCCAGGTACGCCCGCACCCCGTCCGCGTACAGCAGGTCGAACGGCACCAGCCGGCCCGGCGACGTGGCGGCCGCGGCGGCGGCGAGGAGGCTGAGGCACAGCAGCGAGGCCATGGCTCGGGGAGGAGAAAGCGGAGGAAGAGTAGAAGGGGTCCGGGGCGGGCGGGCGTCCTGGCGGGCCCCGGGCTCGGCCCACCCCGGGGGCGGTGCCGGTCCGGGGCCGCGGTGGGCGGGCAGGCTCGGCCCGGGTCCCGCCGCTGYCTCGGGGGCTCCTGGTGCTGCTGCCTCTCGGTCTGACGTGTCCCCTGGCCCGGGYGGCCGTCCCAGGACGAAGCCTCCCTTTGGTGTGGGTCACCCAAACGCCTCCATCGAGGCGTCTTCTAAGGGGTCACAGTTAATCCATCAGGAGGCACGCTTGGACACTTCAATCACATAGAGAACTGCTTTGGCGGTGAATGCCTACTCCTTCTTTGGGGGAGAGGGTCTCCCACAGCCCTTCTGACACTGCCAAACATTTACCCATTGCTGTAACTGCAGCCAGCACCAGCCAGRAAAACGTTCATCTCCCACATGGCCAAACATTTGCCCATGGCTGGAACTACAGCCAGCACCMGCCAGGTTCACTCCCACACACTACTCCTGCACCTCCCTGCCAACAGCTTTGTGTGGGGCAAGAGCATGCTTCAGACCTCACCACTCCCAGCTTTGATGGCATGGGCAACCAGGGGGCCTTCCCCCAGAAGGCTCTGTCAGCTTTCCTGTTAGGATGAGGAGTTTGGACCATCTGAAGTTTCACACAAAGTTTGCACTGGAATCAACAGTTTGCACTGGTGAAATGAGATGTTAAGGGTCAGRGTCTTTTTGGAAAGAATTTAATTCTTTCCAAGCATGGGGTTGCCTCAAAGCAAAACTTTTTGCTGAGCAATGTTAGAAASCCAAGGCCCCCCCTGCTTAGCACCGTAAGTTTGAAACGGACAGAAGACCTTTCACCGAGTCTCCCATGACAACTTCTCTAAGGGCATCATTCCCTTTCCTGGGCTGCTTAGCATCTGCTGCTTTTCAGAGGAACTGACAAGAAAGGATGAAGAGGGAGGAAAGGAGCCTCGCACGTTCTGCATTTCCCTTCCAGAAGCCTGTGAMGCTTCATTAAACATTGGGCCAGTCATTTTGTTTCTATGGAAACATAATTATTACTAATATAGTATTTTAAAAACAGACACACGATTGACACTCCAAATATAGAATTTTAATACCATTCTGCGCCTGCCTCGTCTCTTAGGGCAGAGCGGATGCGAGGGTGGAGTTCACAAAGGGACGGGACTGGCAAGGGTGCCAAGTGGCGGTGGCAGCGGTGGATGTGTTTGTAACCTGAGAGCAGGCACAGGCTGTCTGTCCATCCGTTGTGCTCCCTTCTGCAGATCCATCCCACTTCTTTTTCCCCACCAGCATGGGGTGCTGTGTTTTGTGCCTGCTGGCGAGAAAGATGAAAATGCAAATTAGTGATTGGGTCCCAGGACAAAGGGAACGCTTGAAGTTTTATTTAAAAACCGTGATGGCACTGAATGTTCTTGATGCTGTCTCTCATAGTTTGGGGTCCTGGAAGGTCTGTGGCTCGCAGGCCTCAAGGGTCCTTTCACATGGCGCCTGCTCTCCATCCTGCAGATGCCAGATTTCGTTGCCAACCACGGAGCAGCGCCGTGGCCGGTCGGCATTCTCCTCCTCCCTGCTGCCGAGGGAGAGGCGGCGGTCGCGGCGTGATGCGAGCAGGAGACGGGAGTGCCGTGGGCTGCAGGCTGGGGTGGGTTGCGGCGTCTCGTCGATGAACGTGGTGATCTCATCTCGGAAGAAGCAGGCGCTGGAGCTGGAGCCCCGGGGCATCAGCCCCCCCTCCAAAAATTGCCGTAGGGTCGTCAGCTCATCTTCTGGGGGCCGCCGGCGGTGCTGGTAGTCATGCAGCTGAGGAGGCAAGAAACCAGGGGCCCCAGGCTTGCGGGGGGTGGAAATGCGGATGTCGTCAGATGAAGACCACTTGTGTAGGAAGGATGGAGCAGAGCGGTGGGCGGAGAAGATGTTAGTCTCATCATGTGACATTCTCCGTGAGAGAGGGACCTGGAAAACAGAGAAGGGGGCAGGTGATGGAAGWCTTGAAGAGTCAGAACAGGAAGGGAGTAGCTGAGGTTTTCTCAAAGAGAGTCAAGAGGACACAAAGGCGTGGGAAACTGACAGAGAAGGAAGTGGGGTGTGGGGCTGCCCCTGCTAGCTCTCGGCTCACCTGCAGGTAGTGCACCTTGTCCTGGGGCAACAGCATGTGGTGCATGGGCAGTAGCTTGATGTCGCGGGAGTCCCGCTTTGCAGCTGCGGCACCGTTTGCATCGAATCTCACTTTGCAGATCCTGCCATCACCATAATCATCACATACACCATCTGTTGGCAAAGACGAGAATGGCAGTCAACACTTTTCAGTCAGGAGAGGAGGATTACCAGGGCACCTGGACGTCATCCTAATGCTTATCTGACTTCTCTCACCCTACTTGCATCCCTCAGGGCTCACCTTTGAACAAAGGCCTTGTCTTTCTGCTTGCAGCAGCACTAAAGCACCCAGAGACTGTCCTATTTTTTCTCTTGCCTTTGAATCGCTCACTGCCAGATCRTGGACCTTTGGATAAGTGAGTTGGGCTGAGGCCCAGCATGTCACTTTGGTTGTGGTTTGGCAGCCACACGCCATGTATCTATGCTGGCAACCAGTGAGGAGGATGTTGCACTAATTCTTCCTGGATGCTAGTCCTAAGGCTGCAAGTGAGTGGCAGAGCCTTCTACAGAATACATTTTCTCGTGGTTGCTGACTCCAAGCTATAACATGAATCTCACTGAGCCACCCGCAACACCACCAGATCATTTCCTTTACCCCCATCTTTCCTCTGTAGTCTTTTGGGGATGTGGTTAGTGAAGAAAGGTGACTGTGGGTTGGTGAGCAGCTTACCATCCTCTGTGTCTTCCTCAGACATGATAGCCACACACTGCTCCCATACGGTGCGGAGATCTGCTCGGTAGCGCTCGCAGGACCAGATGAAAGAGGGGAGCAGCAAGGTCTGCACCATGGAACACCAGAGCACGGCCAGGACCATCCAGGTGGGGGCTGTATCATAGCGCAGACTGAAAAAGCTCACGACCTTTAAGGTAAGAACAGCAACAATGCCAAGGAGACAGAAGCGGGGATCAAGGGAGAAAGATAACAGGAATCAATTCTGTAGTAGAATATGATCTGTCTCTAAAGGATTCATCAGGTAATTACCCTGTGTCCCTTTGAAAAACTGCTCCTGGGGTCTTGCCCCAGGTTTGCTGGACCACATTCCAAGTAGTCATATCTCTAACATGAGACCTGGTGCTAGCRTCCCTTCTTCCTGTGCTCATTACCAGCTGGAGCTAAATAGGTGCTAACAAAGGACACAGCCAATGGGAAAAAATATCTGTGACTCAGCCTCTCCTCTTTTAAGGGTTCTTTTTGAGAACTTCTCCAGCTCTCCAGTTTTGCAGAGAATCGACCAGCTAGCCAAAACCTGAATGCAGCCTACAGCCATACAAGCAGAAGGAAAAAGACAACTGGATACATCAGCTGTTAAAGCTGGTTTATCAGTTCTCCAGGAGCAAACTGAAGAAATAGAAATCCCTTTGTTTTTACAAGTAAGTTTGCAGAATAATTTCMTCTCCTCTTAGCCACTTAAAACTTGCACAGCGGTTTAAGCTGCGCGGTGTGTATTCCCCAGGCTTAAATTTAAGAAAMTGCTGCTGCAGAAGGATGAGAGAATTACTGCAATCTTTTTAAAACCACCGCTCAGAATAACACAGATTCAGATGCGGCAGTTCTGCGGCTGGTGGGACAGGAGAGATCCTTCTCTAAAACTTGAGAGAAACCCAAATCTGGTTTAACTGCTTACTCCGAAGGGAAATGGAGAACTGGATGCTTACCAAGATCGGCACCCCAGTAAGCGTGTCATACAGGAAGACAATGGCGCTTATGAGGTTGGTCATCTGCAAGGAGGTCTTGGCTGACTCGGAGCCATCCAGTGAAGACCTCCTTTTGCCTCGTACATCCTCCACCACAATGGCTGGCACATTGAAAGTGGTGTGTGCTGATGAAGAGCAGGATGACGCCTCTTCTGCTCTCTGATGGCGGCACCGCCGGCGTCTTCTGTGTGCCCACAGGGTTTGGTAGAAGGTGATACCCACGCACACCAAGCCCATGACGATTCCTCCGAGCAGCAGGAGGCTAAAGCAGACACCGAAGCCCAGCCCTATTTTGCTGACAATGAACTGGCAGCCACGGGCATAGTAGCGCTCGCCGTTGTTGTGCCAGCCGATGGAGGGCAGGGTGGAGAGGATGAATGACACCATCCAGATACCCATGACTGCGTGCAGAGCCTGCTTCTTGGCATTGCTCAGGCGGTAGTTGACCGGCCACCTCACCATCCACATYCGGTGGTAGGAAAGGGAGGCCACTGTGAAGCAGGTGGCCAGCGCCAGCGTGTAGTACGTGGAGACAAAGACCTTGCAGATGCTTTCGTTCCAGTCGTAGTCAGAGGACTCACGCCGCAGCTGCACCACGGCGTAAGTGGTGAGGGGTACTGCTGCCATGAGGATGTGCGTGCCAGCGAGGAAGCACAGCAGCAGCTCCAGAGGCTTGTGTTTCTGTTGTTTGGCCGTGATGCTGAGGATAATCCAAGAGTTGGCCAACAGAGCTAACATCCCACATGCCAGCCACCACAGTGAGTTGTTGTGCAAGGTGGACTCTGATTCAGAGTCCCCCATGCTTCCACCCCTGCTAGACTGCACCCTGCCTGTGCTGCTGGGATTTTGCAAGAGGGTGAGTGGGACTCTGCGCTGGGGCAGCCACGTCTCTCCTCATCTGCCACTATGATGTGAGTTGTATGCACGCTGGAAGGGTTCCTCAAGGCATTGTCACCAGGTGCCAGGCAGAACAGCCRTCAGCTCTGTTTCGCTTCCAGTCTTCCTTTTCCCTTCTATTTGATTATATCTCTTCCCCTCGTTCTAACTTTTTTCATCTGTTTTTCCTCTTGTTCTCTTTCTTTCTTCCACCTTTCTTCTCTCTCATGAACACTTGCCAGTGCTTCTTCCCTCACTYGCTTGGGCTCACTTTTTTTTTTTCCTCCCCATC